AGTATGTTGGGTTACTGTCTGGAAGAGCCTTTATCTATCCTAGCCAACAACTCGACTGAAGGTATCGCCTGTCTGGCTTTGTTGTTTGTCGAGTAACTTTTAGTTATGTATATGTATGCTCTTATGTTATTATGTTGGCCCTCAAAGGGGATTTCTTACCCTGGCTTGCATAATGCAGTCTGGGTAGTATAACAATAGTTGTCTTCACACGGGAGAGGCTAAGAGGATAGTAACTTCTCAGTTCATGAGGCTGAATGCCTCAGCAGTCTCCATCTGGTGCTGAAGGCTTGGAGGATTCCTGGAGAGCCACCTGTCTTTGATCCATCCATTTTGGAAAGCCAAAGAAACTGGGATCCAGGGTCAGTAAAGATAGCAGTCAGTAGCAGCAGCAACAGTGGATGCACTCACCAACAGGGGGTAAAGGCAGCAGGCAAAAGGCACCAGATTTGTCCTTCCATTTCCTTGTATACCAGAAGGTGCAGCGCTCTCTGGAGAAAGGTGTTTTCCCTTTCCAAGAAATACCCTTACAGTCTTGCCTAGGGACTTTTCTCTTAGTGGATTCCAGAGCCAGTTAAATTGACAACCACATTTAAGCCTCACAGCCGCTAAAGCTGCCTTCTTTTCCCCAGAGAAAGTGTTGCCCTGATATCCTTCGGTCTGAGGCTAAGCCTGATAATTAGGAATACAGATTTAAATTAAAAGCACATTTGGTAGTATAAACTGAAATTATAACATAGGCCTATAAGAAAGAAAGTGTCTTTGAAAGAATCCAGCTGTTTTCATGCTTGGAGGTAGGTCCTCCCTGCTTGAAGATCACCACTGAGCCCAGCAACCTCCTGGGAACCATATGTGAAGAATAACACATGATGATGGGCTGAGTCTGGTCTTTCTCTGGATTGCCACTTCCTGTGAGCTCTGCAGTCTGTGCTGCATACATTGGGACTTGTGGCAGGTCTCCTGTTACATGACAACCCAGCCTCATAGTGTATTGATTTCATAAGTTACAATGAGTGGGAGAAGCAGCATTTTCATGTGCTTGTCTTCAGTAGCTCATGTCAGGTCTTGGACGCATCTCTGGCTTTTGTCAGAGCTTGTCTGAGTCCTGTGGTGGGAGGAGGGGTAAATTGGCTCAAAACCATAGTCCAATATTTACGGTGAGGCTATGGAAGCTTTATTAATTAATTTATTAATTAGCCTTATCAAACCATTTTTACATGCACTTATACATATCCTTGTATGTGTGTGTGTGTGAACATGTACGCACATGCATGTGGACAACATATGTCTACCTCTAGAGTCATTCTTTTCCTCAGACCTTGGTGTTTGAGACAAGATCTCACTAGGACCTAGGGTTCACACACTAGGGCTAGATTGAGTAGCCAATCATTTTTGGATTCTTGTGTGTCTGCTTCCCAGTCTTGGATTAAAAGTGTGCCACTGGGTTAGCCTTTTCACTTGTGCCACTGGGCCAGCCTTTTCACTTGAGCTCAAACTCAGTTCTTTCTATTTTCAGGGTGAGCACTTTACTGACTGAGCTATCTCCCCAGTCCCAGTCACACTCTTAAAGTTGCAAATGTGAGTTGCAAATGTGAGGACCATGGCCATCCTATTCCTGGGAGAGTCCCCAGAACTTAATAGTGTTACTTGCTCATTTGACTATTAATGAACATTTTTCTAAAGTAGAACTTTAGGGATTAGGGGTTTAGATCAGTTGTAGTTGAGCATGTGCTTAGTGTGTATGCCTTCAATTTACAGGAGAGAGAGAAAGAGAGAGAGAGAGCAACATATCATTTAATGGGTCTTTTGTTATAGAGATATTAATACTGTATTGTTTGAAAATGTTCAGTTTGCAACTTTGCCAAGAACTAATTCTTCATATTTCCTCTTTTATTTTGCTTAGTATCTAAATTCTTGTTTTCCAGACTTGAAGCCATTCCAGTATGGCTTACCTTGGACTGTTCTCTTTGCTGGCCTTGCAAAGTGTGGCCATAGGGGCCACTTTCCCCGATGAAACCATAACTGAGTGGTCAGTAAATATGTATAATCATCTTCGAGCCACTGGGGAAGATGAAAACATTCTCTTCTCTCCACTGAGCATCGCCCTCGCAATGGGAATGTTGGAACTTGGGGCTCAAGGGTCTACTCTGAAAGAAATCCGCCATTCCATGGGCTATGATGGCCTGAAAAATGGTGAGTTGCTTAGGTTTGATTTCTTCCAATTATTTGAGTTTAACATTGAGCTCAGTCATATTGCCTTATGGCAGAGGAAGCTATATTTACTCAGGGTAAGAAATGATCTTATTTCATGAATATGCCTGGGAGGAGGATTGGGAAACAAGAACAGAGTCCCTTCCTATTTCCAACTGTGGCTGAATCTAAGGAAATCATAGCTTTCCAAAAGTGTTATTTAAATCACCCTCTGTGCTAAACAATATCCAAAATGATTCTGTCTAGGAGAAAAGGTCTGTCTTAATCAATTGTTATACCAATAAATAAAAAAGTTATAACTGTGATGGATTCTATAAAGAAAAACAATGTGGTTCTCTAAGAATATCAGACATTTTACTTAAAATCTACAGTATTCTCATTATTTAGATAATGGGATTTTTGAAATGTTATAGCATTATAAAAATCATATATATTAGGGAAAATCATTTTGACATGGCATGTGATCTCTGTTTTAATGTTCGTATGAACTCATTCATTGGAAAGTTAAAAAGAAAATTTCTAGTGTATTTTCTAGTTATGATATTTAAAGTTTGGTGAGAGTAAAATTTAGAAGAATATATTGAATTTTAAGCTAGATAATTCAACTGCATTCTTCTTGATAATCACAAAAGACAAATTTAATGAAAATAACCTTTTTTATTTTGTACTTTGAAAGTAAACAACCTAAAATATCTCTCCTCTGTAAAGTGTAGCAAAGCAACGATGAAATGAAAAATACTATCTCTAGGAATGTGGCTCAGTAGTAGAGTACTTGGCTAACATGTGCTAAGTAAGTCCTGTGCTTGATCCCTAACACTGCAAAACAGTCAAACAAACACTCTGTCACTAGATAGTATTAAGCTGGAGGCAGTTCATCTGAGCATGCAGAAGTAGGACTGGGGTTTCCTCATCCTGTGGGTGTGAGGAGCAACCTGCCTGTTTACTGCTCCCTGTTCTCCTCATGTCCGTCACCATGTTAGAGTGATCTTTCTTCTGAGTCTTTTATTGTGTCTGTTCCCCTAATAAACTTGTTCTTTGTCATCTTGCAGGTGAAGAACTGTCTTTCCTGCAAGAGTTTTCTAACATGGCCACTGCTGAAGAAAGCCAATATGTAATGAAAATTGCCAATTCCCTCTTTGTGCAAAATGGATTTCATGTCAATGATGAATTCCTGAAAATGATGAAAAAGTACTTTAATGCAGAAATCAATCATGTGGACTTCAGTCAAAGTGTAGCTGTGGCCAACTACATCAATAAGTGGGTGGAGAATCACACAAATAGTATGTTCTTTCTTTCTCTACTTAGCTCTGTTTAAACCATCTTTCACTTTGGGAAGTGTTTGTGACTCACTCCTTTTGTAAGTTAGATGTAAGCATTGATTGTCTACTAATTATTTTGTATAGATTATAGTCCATTGAAGAAACACTGTTTATGAATGAAGATTAAAGAAAGATGCTAAATATGTTTCCATGCATAGAATTTTGGTACTGATCATCTGACATCTATGCTGCCTGGTCAAGAAAATTCCCCTGCATATCTGCTGTACAGAATTTTTCTTACTCTGCTTGATAAATTAGGTAGAATGGTAGTTGGTGAGTGTTCTAATTGTAAGATTAAAAATAGAATAAGAAAGATAAAAATCAGAGTTTAAAGATGCTTTTTGCTTTTACAACCACAGTAGTTGATAATTTTTTTTTTCTTTTTGAGACAGGGTCTCCCTGTAGCCCCAGCTGTCCTGGAACTCACTATGTAGACCAGGCTGGCCTCAAACTCACAAAGATCCACCTGCCTCTGCCTCCCAAGTGCTGGGATTAAAGGCATGTGCCACTGTGCCTGGCCTGATAATTGACTTTTTAAAATGAATAAGATTTATATTTCAAAGAAAATTTAAAATTTTAAACTCAAAAATAAGTGGAGAATTAGAATAGCATGCACATTTTTATTTTTAATTCACATTTTAAATGGATTTAAGATTTCCAGGTGTAAATTTTTCATCATTTAATTTCCAATTAATCAACAAAATAATTGAAATTAAAATCTAAAAATTGAGGCTAATTAAAAGTAGATGTATGCATGTATGAAAACTTTAAAAAAGTAAATTTATTAAAATATAAATCTTATTCATTTTGCTCAGCATGTAGGAGTCTTTGCTCAGAAAACATGAGGACCAACAAGAAGACAGCCAGCACATATAAAAAAAATTAACCTGGGCATATCCCCACACATGCCAGTAGCCATAGCATTTAAAACTATGGGAAGAAACAGAAGGGTCCCTGGAGTCTGCTGGCTATGAACCTAGCTCCAGTTTCAGTGAGACGTTGAGATAGAATACGACATGTAACATCTTCCTCTAGTCTCTGTATATGTGTGGACAATCATACCCACACATGAGTGCCTCTCTCTCTCTCTCTCTCTCTCTCTCTCTCTCTTCCCCCCATGTATCACTCTAATTCTATTGCTCTCTTTCCCATAATCATCACTAAAGTCCCCTATTCAAGGAACAAAAAGAAAAGTGATTACACCAAAAACAGCCCCACTTTTCAACATTTTTAAGCATTCAAAGAGATTAATTATCTCCCTAAAATATATTGTATCATTAAAATCCATTACTTTTCTAATTCTTTGGGCACTTTTAACAAACAGCAAAACCTGCTGTCTTTCAAAGCAGACTTGAAAAAGATCATTTAAAATGGTAGAAAATAAGGTATCATGAATTACATTGGCTTTTGGTCATCTGTTTTTACCTTGTCAAAAGCTGTAAGAGGATGTCCAAGAGTTTGAACTGGATGGCACGTTACTTTTTCAGTAATAAACCCGGCAGCATTAGGGCTCTTTGTATTAATGGTTCCACATGCACATCGTACCGAGGGAGCAGAGAAGGCCAAGAAGCCCTTGTATGTGGGGTTGGTGGTCTTTGTGTCAGGATGCTATTAGGTGTACTCTTGCTTTGGATGCCTTTAACTGCTAATCATATAGTCATGTGTGTATGTGCATAGCATTTTTTCCTTTGGAAGGAAGACACCTCCTACTTTTTTATTTTTTTTAGAAACTTACCATGCATATTTAGGGACTACTCTGCCAGAAGGTAGTTTTGATAATCCTTTTGGTCCCCCTTTCTTTTCAATTTAATGTGAATTTTTTCTCTATTTTGCTTAAATAGATCTATTGAAAGATTTGGTATCCCCAAGGGATTTTGATGTTACCACTCATCTGGCCCTCATCAATGCTGTGTATTTCAAGGGGAACTGGAAATCACAGTTTAGGCCTGAAAATACCAGAACCTTTTCCTTCACTAAAGATGATGAAAGTGAAGTGCAGATTCCAATGATGTATCAACAGGGAGAATTTTATTATGGTGAGACATTTTGTTTTTTTTGTACTGTATCAACAAATTTTGCAGAAATACCATTAAACATTCATTATTCCAACTCCTCGTGAATATAACTTGGACTACAGTTCAATTTTCTTGGCTGCATTTCCAGGCTCATCGTTAGACATGACTGAATCTTATAGACATTGACAGTTTTCCAATACGCTTTAATTTATAAAGTTAATTGCACTTCCTGAGTAGCTGTATTCGCCTAAAGTATCTGATACTGGAATGGCGAGATGGCACCTTGGGTAAAGTGCTTGCCAAGCAAGGATGAGGACTCTAGGTTGGATCCCCAAACCCACTAAAGCCAGACTCTGTAATTCCTGTGCTCCTATGGCAAGATGCGAGATGGAGACAGGAGATTACCTGTGAGCTCATGACTGAGCTAGCTTGGTGGACACAATAAGGAAAAAAAAACCCAAACAAGAGAATCTGCCTCAAAAAAGGTGGAAAGTAAGAACTGATGGTCGAGGTTGTACTCTGACTGCCATACATGTTTCATGGCATATGTATGCCCCCCTTGCACGCACATTTGCACACACATGCACACACACATACACACATATACACACAGATAAAAGAAAAATAAAACCTGCTATTGGGCAAGAACATTTTGTGTATCCCACAAAACCATCTGCTTTGGGATGGTCTTTAGCTGTATGGTCCACTAATCACCTGATTTAGCTACAAATGTTCTTCTTGCATATTTTTCCTTTAAAATTTAATATTGTTTTTGTGTTTGAATGCCCAGACACCGTTGTTTATTCATAATTTCATTTACTGAGAGAACTGAACTTCATGAAACAATTCAGTATCTTTGGCATTATTTTCAATGCTGTTTCTTTGGACTCTTCAGAAGTTTAAGGTATTAGTCTTTCTAAATTGGATTATAGTAATTTGTTAAACCATAAACAGAAATGTAATTTTAAGCCAAATATATGTTAGAAATAACAGTTTATTCATTTTAAAATGTTATATTAAAAGTCTATAATCATATCTAATCATGCTAATAGTCAAAATATGAAAGGAAAATAGTATTACATCTAAACACTTGAGAAATAACAAAAGATATTATACTTATTGTTGAAGACAGGGAAACTTTAAAATAATGACAGAGGTCTTTGTTGTAAAGACTATATATTTGTATATACATATTTATGTATAGACATATATTTATATATGCCTAGGTAACTTTGCTAAATTCATGGTACACAAAGTAAATTACCTCATTTACCCCATTACCTAACTTGAGGTCTTTACTGACACAGACATACTTCATAAGTGTTATATGATTCTTGACTTCATTTTAACTTTGCAACTTGGGCCTTGAAGTTTGTAATTGTGGAAATAATATAGTTAATGTGATTTATGCTCAACTTGAAGCTAAGATCTTTTTTTTTACAATGTTTTCATTGTGTTAAGAAAATTTAATTCTTTGATTAAAAAAGTAAAATAAGTCAAGAGAAGTTAACAAATATGAAATAGCTGGAGAATTCTCAAATATATTTTGTGGGGCTGAGGATTCATTTAATTTCAGAGCCTACTTTCAAATAAATCACTGTTTTGGATGCCTGACTTATTTTCTAAACATTATTTTCAAGCATACTAAAGACCCAAACAACAAACAAACAAACAAACAAACCCTAAAAGCACTTTTTAAAAAGGTTTGGCATGGGCTTTAAAGCCTTTCTTTCCTTTTTTTAAGGGGAATTTAGTGATGGTTCCAATGAGGCTGGTGGAATTTACCAAGTCCTGGAAATACCCTATGAAGGAGATGAGATCAGCATGGTGCTGGTCCTGTCCAGGCAGGAAGTTCCACTGACCACGCTGGAGCCTCTGGTCAAAGCGCAGCTGATAGAGGAATGGGGAAACTCTGTGAAGAAGCAGAAGGTAGAGGTGTACCTGCCCAGGTGAGAAACTCCTGTGGTCCTTTCCACATGATGGGCTAGTCCAGGCAGTCTCTCACCAATGTGTTTTAAATGTTCTTGTCCTCGTCCTCGTCCTCGTTCTCCTCCTCGTCCTCCTCCTTGTCCTCCTCGTCCTCTTCGTCCTCCTCGTCTTCCTTCTCGTCCTCCTCCTCGTCCTCCTCCTCTTCATCCTCCTCCTCCTTGTCCTCCTCCAAGACCGAGCTTCTTATATGATTCAATATTCTTAGCTTCATTACCGAAGATTTTTCAAGACTGTCATGAGCATTGACAGTCTTCTTTTGTGTGTGTTGTGAAAGTTGGTAACAGCTGGAGAGGTAAAGCTCTGACATTGCTGGAAGCGTGGCAAAGAAGCCACTATAGCAGGTGCCGACATATAATCACAGACAAACAAGAAGCCATTGTGCTCAAAATCCTCCATGACTGAAAGAATAAGATCTAGGTATGGCCTTTACTATCCTGACTTTACTTCCCCAAATTCACCTCAGACCTCCCAGCACAACAGTGTCCAATACACATTGTTATGTTTCTTGTAGTTATACCACATATTCTTTTTCCGTGTCTCAGACTCTCCATTTGTATTCCTGCACTGACCTATAGTGCCCTCCTCCAGATACTGCTTACTTGGCCTTCCATCAGTGTGTGACACCAGTGTCTCCACGAAGCCTTGCCCATCACTTCCTTGCTATCACCTGTCTCATTCTATGTGAAGCTTACTCAAATATTATTTGCCATAAATACCAAAAGATGATGAGTATATTAATTATAAAGTTGAATTACTCTATTTCATTAACTTATATTTATTCCATTTTGGAGTTGACATTTAAAAGTTATATTTTATGTAGATGCCCACTTTTCCCCAAATCTTAGCTGATAGTTTGCCTGTGTAAATGAAGATCTATTTCGAAGTACAGATATTTGTAGCTAGAAAATTATATAGTCATCATATATGTAAATTTATGTAATGTACAACAAAAACTCGCTTAGTCTGCTTATGAAATTTAAGGGAGCCATCTCCTTATCGTTCATATTTTTATTAGCAAAGATATAACATGCCTCGATTTCCATGATGCAGCTATGTGAAAAGATTCTAGTTTGGTCTCCTCTCAAACTGAATACCTGACAAATGAAACCAATGTGTTAAAATACAAAGTCAGTTTTTATATACTTGTTATATAAACAAGGATATTTTAACCTCTAAATAACGGTTTATTTCTGAAGATTAATAATTGAATATAAAATATTGTCTAGGTCAGGCTTAAACTTCCGAACAATTTAACCCACTTTAAAGCTTACCCAGTGATCTTTTATCATGATTTCTGTATTTTTTCCTCATAAGAAATTCCTTTGGATAATACAAGAAATTCAATACAGTGTCCACGCTTTCCTTATTATATTCTATAACCTAAGTGGCATGTCTCTAAAGGCTTCAGTTCTGTGATGAAACAAAGCTATTTAGGGGTATTGTAGCAGAATTCTAAATGAGTGCTTAAGAAATATCATATATTCTAACTCATTCATATTCACTAGAAAATGTGTCCTCCAGGTCCGGTCCACTGAGAAATTGGATATGGCAGCAGAAGAAAATTAAATTTTCATTTTCTAAGAGATGCTCTTCAATTATGAAGCAGTTTAGCTCGCTTGCTCTTATTAATGCCTGGTACTAAACTAGGCTCAGCTAATTACCATGTCTCCATTTCTCCAGGAGTTTTATGAACTCTCCCTCTGTGTGGCTAGTGCTCTGTGTGGTAAATAGCTCAATGAGATAAATTTGATTTTGCATATTCACAGATTTACTGTTTTGAAACAGTTATGTGTTGTAGCGATCAATGGCAAAGCCCCCCCAATCTCATGTGTGATTAGGATCCTCTAAGTGTTCAATGAAATTAATGGCATGTGTGTCCCAGTTTTAGCAAAGGTGAATTGCTTCTAATTACTGGATTCTAGATTTATGCAAGGATCAGTTTGTAATTATTTGTATAGCTTATTCATGTAAATATATTATTCTAAAATTACAAGCTTTCATTTCTGTGATTTGGCAACATTCATGGCCTACCTGACACTTTTATATTTATTTTTTTCTTCAGCTATCCAAGGGTTTATACAGACAGTATTAGAATGCCATTCTTAAGAATTATAGAGCATAAGATTGGAGATGTGGCTCAGCTGGTAGAGTACTTGCTGAGTATGTGTGAAGTTTGGGGATCTGGGATCACTTCCCACTGCTGCATAAACCAGGCATGGTGAAGTCAGAGGATCAGAAGTTGAAGGTCATCTTCAGCTAGGTAGTGATTTTGAGGTTTTGGGAAATTATGCAGTCGGAAAGATATCCTCAAGTCTTCCACCATTAACCTGTCTGACTAGAGCAAGGGGCTTAGCTTTATACAACTTCAGTTCATTTTTTTTCTTGTAGCCTAGAGAAAATAAAACTTTCCTCTCTGACAATAGTCTATATTAAGAGGAAAGAGATTATGATTGCGCAGTAGCTATTTTCAATGGTTTAGGAAAGGAAAAAGACAAGAATGGATAAATGGAGATTATTGACAACTTACTTTAACTTTGAATAAAGTCTTAGAAACAGCTAGATTTTAGTTACTTCAACCTATGTGCTTTTTCCCCATTCCAGATATTACAAACATTAAAAGAAATTTAGACACTGTATTTTTTAATTTTATTTTATGTGTATGAGTGTTATGCCTATATGTGTTAAGTGCACCTGTGTCGTACATTGCCCCTGGAGGACAGAAGAGTTCGTTGGATCCTCTGGAACTGGAGTTACTGATGGTTGTTAACTGCCATGTGGGTACTGGGATATGAACCTTGGTCTTTTGTAAGAACAACCAGTGCGCTTAGCCGCTGAGCATCTCTCTAGCCCTAGACACTGTATTTGACTAATTTACGGTGAAAGTAACAGATATTAAGATGGCTGTTTAATAAATTAATCATTGCTGGAGTTAACACCTTAACTTCTATAATAATGTGCTGTATATATAACTGCAATATAATAAACATTAATAATGTTTGCCTTTTCTTGCATATCTTCTGTGGTTTTGCATAGTCCTAAGTTTTTAAAAACCTTTTTTATTTTGTATGTATGAGTGTTTGACCTGCATGTATGAAGTGTACCAGTACATGAATGTGCATGGAGGCCAGAAGAAGGCCTCTGATCCCATGGAACTGGAGTTACAGATGGTTGTTATCCATCATGTGGATGCTGGGAACCAAATCCGGGTCCTCTGGAAGAGCAGCCATTTCTCTTAACCACTGAGCCATCTCTCCAGGTCCTCCTAGTTCTTAAGCTGCCAGAAATGATCCTAATGTAATGCTTAGTGACTGATTAGACTTGGCTCATTTAAGCACACAGCTTGTTGCCTAGGAATGTATATGCATCGGGGCTAGAGGGGATGGCTCAGAAGGTAAAAGCACTTCCTGCTCTTCTGGAGGACCTGAGTCCAGTCTCCTGCACCCATGTTGGGTGGCTCACAACCACCTGTAATTCCATGTCTAGGGAATCTGACACTCTCTTCTGGTTTCTGAGGACACCTGAATGCATGTGTACATACACACAGACATACACATAAATGAAAAATAAATCTTAGAAAAAATTATGTGCATTATCTCTACTGGAGGCATCATCTTCAAAAAGAAAATGTTTTATTCAATTCTCACTCAAGTATGTTTTATTTTTTTAAGTATTAAGCACTTTTTCATCTTTAAAATTTTAAAAATGCACGTGTTTTGTTCTATATCTTTTACTAGGATAACTAATGATTTAAACTCATTGGTTTGGAGAGAGATTGTATGTGAGCCATCTGCCTTACTGTATAAAAATTTCTATAATGTTAAAATTCCATTTATGGCTGCTAAATGCTGCATTTCTTCCTATAAAATTGATATGCTCTATACATAATAATTCTAAAACAACTTTAAAAATAGAGTGTCATTATGATTTTTAAAAACTCTACTGTCACTGTAAAATCTTATAGTATTGAAGATACAATATTTACCTCATTTTCGTTTATTCAGTTTTCCAGTGATGACATCATGAAAAAATGCTTATTCACGAGTTAGGGTTTAATATAACTATGGGGATACATTTTTTTCAATGTGATGGGTTTCATGGAATTGAAATGCTGACTGTATTAATTGCCCAGTCAAATTAGGCTTCTGTTTCTCCTGTTCATGGTGGATGGTGAATGGAGAGGTAGTGTCAATTGACTAAGATACTAACAAAAATGAAATACCTTGGTAAATGTGTGATTAGCCATTATCAGCCTGAAAATCATGCATTTTTCTTACTACATGAAAGCTATAGATTTGCAAGTTTTTAAAAATGTTATTTATTTACTTATTGTGTGCCTCTGTGTGTGTGCGTGCGTGTATGTGTATATATTGCATGTGGGTCTACATGTGGAAGTCAGAGGACAACTTGAAGGAGTCAGTGCCATGTTCTAGCATGTGGGTTCTGGGTATAGAATTCTAGTCAAGTGGTAGCAGGTGCCTTTACTCAAGTTTTACATAGTACTTACTGATACCTGACCTCAAGGCCCCTTTAATCTATTGCTTATTGTAGTTGTGCATCTATATCAAATATTTTTCAAGTCATGAGTTTAAAACCTGTCATATCATTCTCTTTAATTCTACTTTTCATAACCATAATTGTATGCACTTTTTTTTGGTCTTTTTGAGATAGGGTCTCCCTGTAGCTTCAGCTGGCCTGGAACTCACTATGCACAACAGGCTGACCTGGAACTCACAGAGATCCCCTTGCCCCGGCCTCCCGAGTGCTGAGATTAAAGGCCTGTGCCACCACACCTGGCTCAAATGCACTTTTGTAATCAACATACTTAGCATCTTATCCTTGTCCCAGGAAAGAAGCTGCTATAACTATATACTTTCTTCCCACACGTTCTCCAGGTTCACGGTAGAACAGGAAATTGATTTAAAAGACATTCTGAAAGCCCTTGGAGTAACTGAAATTTTCATCAAAGATGCAAATTTGACCACCATGTCAGGTAAGAAACAAATACCTATTTTAAAAAAATGTTATTCTTAAAAATTCTCTTCCAAATAATGATACTAAATCCATCATTTATCATAGATTCCTGGTGTATCATTTGACAAACGAAGCAAGAAGTATATTCACTTTTATAAACAATATTATAAACAGTCATACGCTTAAGATTTTGTTGCCTGGTGTGTGTCTTTTCTTTGATAGTAGATTATGTTTTCCATATCATCTACTGTGGAGTAGATGATAAACGTGCTTATTGAATCTCTAAACATATCCCACTGTAACGAGTCATGAAGGAGAGAGGGTGAAGGAGCATCTCCTGCTATGAGAACTGCATCTCCTTTTAACAGAATAAAGACTATGCAGTGAGGTCTTATAAGGCTTTTCCTAAGTCTTCAGTTATGACACTGGATTTTGAAAAAAGGTTTTCAAGTGTACTGGCACATGAAAAATAATTAATTGAAATGTTAAACTAGAAATCATAAAATGTTAACATTTAAGCATTCATCATGATGTTTGTGATAATTTTGGATATAGGTTTAAGTGATTAGCCCCCAACCCCCCAAACTTACCATTTAAAAAAGGCAACAATAAGTTTAAAACTTAATAAATAATCTTATGTAATGATTTTTCTATGCTTTCTTTGAAAGGCAGAAAATAGAATTGTTTTCTGTTAAGAAAAAGATATATATTAAAATAACAGAAACGAAACTGGTAAAGCTTCTTTATATGAAATTTAATTGAATCCAATACCCAAACTAGAGCACCAGGTCATGGACCTTTCCTTATCAGTTCATGTGTTAAAACAACCTTTATAACATCATAGCTTCTGTGCCTGGATTTAATTCAGGGAAATAGATGACCTGCTTCCCAAACTGCTTGCATGGATATGTGTGTGTATGCATTTTCTTATGAGAGCAGGTAAAAGGGAGGGAAGATTAGACCACCCACCTGAGAAACATCGACCTTACAAATGCCTCATTCCCACTGGACTTGTATGGATGCTTAGGATACCCATCCAGAGCTCCAGACCACACCTACCCTATGTGGCTAGAATCTTAGGAGTTAGTCAGGCCATGTTTTCAATACAAGTGATTCTAAATTTCTGTTAGAATTCCTAACTACTTTGGGGTAGTGGCCCCCTAACTTTGGTATATTTGAAAATCAGAGAGAGAGAGAAAGAGAGAGAGAGAGAGAGAGAGAGAGAGAGAGAGAGAGAGAGAATGAATCATAAGGGCCAAGAAATCCTTACAGAGTCTGATCTTAAAGAAATCCCCACCCTCCCAGATCACCAATAACACAGACTGTTTTCTACATAGCACTCAGCTTCTTGCATTAAGTGCTGATGCATTTGGCCCCAGAACTTCTACTTCTCATTCAGAATGATTACAGCCCTAAGCACCAACAGAGGTTTCCCAGCCATCTACTGTGTAAATGTTCCTGTCCACACAAGAGAAATGAGTCTTCCTTCAGTAAGTGTTTTCAGGGCTCATATTTAAGTTCTTAGAGCCCTAAGCTCCTTTTAGGTTCATCAGAAAAATAGGGCTAGTGGATATTCGAAAGTTCATATAGTATCTTTGTACCTGAGTCAGAAATGTATTCCTAGCTGAAGCATAACGTCACATCCCAGTGCCATCTTCTTTATGAATTTAGAGCATCAATCTTACTGGCAGAGTTCCAACTGGATAATTACATTCTGCTTTCGTAACATGGCTCTCTTTTCAGGCTGGTTGGTGATTCCTTGCTGGCTCACCCAACATCCAGGCAGACATTTAACCTAAGTATAACACTTAACTGCCTGTCCATTCTGATTGGATAGCACTTGGTGGCCAGTCAATTACTGTGGTCAGTGTGACTTATAATTTCTGGCATATTTAGGTTTATAGGGTAATATTTAATAGTCTTTACTGTCTACAGAGATAGTAGATCATAAAGCACACTGTGAATGGTTTAGAGATTTGGAATAACACCAGAATCTTCCAGAGAGCTTTTAATAAACCTATGACACAGAGTTGGCATCCTGTAAATGTTTGCAGGAGAATAAAACACATGAGGGAAGAAGAGAAGAGGGTCATTCAGATCTGTCTTGTCCTGTACATTGCACTTCTTGGCATACCCATCACTGATGCGGTATTTGGAGCCTTAAACACCATCCTGTTCAGGTAGTCAGAATCATTCGGAAAGGATCTGAAGCAAACCTCTCATGATGTGCAGTGACAATTCTTTGACTGTTAAGTTATTGATTTTGCCAAAGTGTTGCCGACTCTAATATGCAGCCAACCCAACTGATTCTCTCAGCGTCCCTCCCCCTTCTCTCTGTCCCTCTCGCTCATCTTCGCTTCACTAATTTATGAGCCATTTACTTACTTGCTTCTGCTTCCTTTAAATTCATTGCCATTTTTCTGCCTTGTTAATTTGGTCACCATATGCTCTGCCTTACATGGTTCAAATCATTTTTACATGACTAATTTTTTCACCTCTCCAAATAACCTAAAAATCTTCATGACTAGAGTATCTGTAATTTTTAGTGACCCTCTCAAGTACCTAAGGAAATTGTTCGCATTCATTTAGCTGGACCTTTCTAATTTATTAAGGATCTCATGATGTTTAGGATATTAACATGAATCATCCATGCTGCGTCTATTCTCTTCATGAAACAACTGCTGGGGAGGCAGCAGTGTAAGGAAAGTATGGTGTCAGAAAAAATTTTAAAAATAATTATATCAAGGGCCTGGAGAGATGGTTCAGCAATTAAGAGCACTGGCTGCTCTTGTAGAGGCTCTGTAGATCTTGTGAGATCTAGTCCCAGCACCCACATGGCAGCTAACAATTACTCGTAACTCCAGTTCCAGAGAATCCGACACCCTTTTCTAAATTCCACAGGCATTGAACAACATGGACGCACTTACATACATGTAGGAAATACTCTCAGGCACATAAAATAAAGTGATTAATAAAAATTAAAAGATAATTATATCAAACCTGACCTAAAGGAACTTGAAAGATTTATGAGGAGAAAGAGATACTATCTAAATTTAGCAAAGGGAAGACAGAAAAATTTTATGAGACAGAGCTTCTCAGCAGGGACAAGCATCCTCTCCACCCAACCCCAGCCCCAGGGAAGATTCAGCAATAGCTGGAGGTGTGCTTGGTTGTTGTCACAGTCCGGAATACTCCTGATCTCCACCGGTGTACAATGCACAGTACACAGTTACCATAATAAAAAATTACTGAGCCCCAAATGTCAATAGTGAATCAGAGGATGAGAAATCATGGAGCCAAAAGTCAAATGAGAGCATTTGTAAAAGATAGAGGGCAATATGTGCTATGTGCATGTCTCGAGGCCTTTGAATGCTGGGATTATTTCTGAGCAATTTAGGAAGTTATAGTAGCCTTTGCCTATAGAATATGGGGCTAAGGTTCCTATGTGAGAGCAAAGTTTCTCTCTCTGTCTCTCTCTCTCTCTGTCTCTCTGTCTCTTTCTCTCTCTCTATGTGTGTGTGTGTGTGTGTGTGTGTGTGTGTGTGTGTGTGTGTACGGGTGCCCATGTGCATATGTGAAGATCAGAGATCAATACCGGGTATTTTCTTCTGTCACTTTCCACCTTATTTGTCTCTCACTGAACCTGGTGCTCTTTTACACTGGCTGGTCTGAAAGCTCTTGGGAACCACCTCTCTGTCTCCCAGGACTGGGGTGACATATCTCCACACCTGGCTTTTTTGGCTGGGTGCTGGAGTTCTGAGCTCAGTTTTTCATGCTTCCGTAGCAAGTACTTTAACCAGAAAGCTATCTCCCCAGCCCCAATTTTTCATTTCTGACAGAGCCCTGTATTGTTTAGAATTTTACCTTGTCACATTTGTTACATTTTCACTTAAAATTTTACTTAAAGACTGGGTGTAGTGGTGCATGCCTTTAATCCTAGACTGGGGAGGCAGAGGCAGCCTGGTCTACATGGCAAGTTCCAGACCTGCTGGGACTACAAGGAGACCCTGTCTCAAAAAAGACAAAAAAAATATTTACTCAAAGTTAGGAAAACCTGTTTAAAAATTATGTTAATAGTAGAGTTAATTAACAAATATGTAACCACCCAGCAAGCAGTTCAGTACTATTGTGATAGTGCTACATTTTAAAAATTACATAATTTTGTACAGAGAAAAATGTATGGAGAAACCAAAAAACAACCAAACACCTTGCCTCACCTTTCCCTACTCCTAGAAAAAGCCCTGACATGAAGCCCTTCTCTAAGAACACTCGGGTCTGTACTTTCTTTTTTTGGCTCTTCCAGTCCCCTCTTGTTTGGATGTCGATTTCTGCTGCCCTGAGCTGCTTGAATCATCAGCGAGGTGGTTTCCAATCTCGCTCCAATCTAATCTGTCCTGTAGTCCACTGCTGAGATTAATTGCCTTAACACTCAGATCATTGCAGCTGCCTTTGCACAGCTGGCCACCGTCCCCTGCTCCACAGGGGACACCCCCCTCCTCCCTCAGGCCTTCACTCCGTCTGACCCCTCCTGTTAGGTAAAAAGTAGCCTATGGATGAATCCGGTTGATCAGGAGAAAGCACCAGGACACAATAAGGCTCCATCGGAATAGAGTTTATTAGCAAAAGAACATACAGGACAGATTCCCTTCCAGGCAGAGAAAATGTCTGCCCGGGGTCTTGAGCTGGGGTGTTTTTAAAAGGGAGGGTTCTGCTTCCTGCAGAAGGAGGGAAGATGTATTGTTTTTAAAGTTGTGCGGGGGAGCAGGACTGTTAAACCTCTTCTGTTTAGAGATCAAAGGGAAAGCCTGCTGTGTTGGCCAAACAGTGGAGAAAAGTCTGCTTCTCTTGACCTGAAAGACCAAGGTGCTTATAAACTCAGTTCCCTTTTCTCAGGAGCTTGAGAAGTCCTTGTTGGTGAGGGGTCGGTGCTATCTGAACCTTAACACCTCCTACTTAACTGGTGTTCTGGTCAGTCAAAACATTTGCTGTATTTAGACCTCACAACTCCCCAGTTCCCCA